GCTGTTTGTTGCGTTTCAGCTTTAAATAGTGGGGGGGTTTTGTGGGGAAAGCTCTGGAGCAACAACAAAGGTGAGCTTAGACATGGAGCTTCAAAGTGCAAACCTGTGCCTGGAAAGAGGAGGGCAAAATGTAAGTGTGGACAAACTCTATGTCTCTTCTCGGAAGGGAACAGCCATCTAAAAGGCTGCTACTCAAACTTCCTTACCACTTGAGGAAAGGTGGAGAGCAAAACACTGTTAATCAGTACAATTAATCAACCAAAGCTTGAGTTACAGGTTAAAATACACTTATGTCCCAGTTAATTACTGGAGCTTATATAAGGTGCCCTGGACCTTGGGGTTCCAGTATGCAGACCACAAAAATGTACCAGCTCCATCCTATCTGGGCCAACACTGATGAATAAAAGGGAGAAGCTGATTTTCCTTTCTGTTCCTTATATGTATCTACTGTAGATTAGCAGGTAATTTGGACGTGGAAAATATTTTACACATACGTGAAATGGCCCTCCTCCTTCAGAAACATAATTTATGGGGAAATATATAATATTTACATTTATTTTGGTGTCATCAGGTTACATTAAATTAGAAAGGTAGTTGGTTACATTCACACACTGATTGAGGTGTTGTGATGAATAAACCAAGTTAATGCAAAACCGTTCTTTGGGTGCATCAGAACGTCACAAAATAGAAGCAAGCTTTTGATTCTCCAGAAACCTTCAAGCCAGATGTTACAAAAAGCAGTAACAAACAAAAACAAATTGACCTGGTGTTAGAGCTGTAAGATCTGAATTTAGATGGGAATTACAGACGAGAGTGGCACACTTGCCATACAAGATACACTTTCTGAAATTCCTTCTTTTGCACAGCTCTTAAAAGTGCTGGAACCCTGATTTCTTTTGCATCTGGCCTCCGTGGTGCATTGTGGGCAGGTGGCAACATAGAGCACTCTGAAGGATGCTCATGTGATTCTTTGACAGCATGACTAGCATTATTAGGCCCAGTAACACTGCTGCCAACTAGGATGAAAGGCAGATCTGGCATTGTGTTATATTCAGGGCTTGGTTCTTAGATGTTATTTGTCTGTTGGGTGGTTTACTGCTCTGGCTGATTCAATATGCTGTCTGAAAGCAAAGACCACTTTTTCTGCTACCACAAAGAGCTATTATTTTCTGGGTTAACTAAAGAATTTGCTACAGAACATTTGAATAGAGACCGGTCTGGAGTAGCGATAGCCAGTGTGACAAAGAGTTGGGAGAATCTAAGGTCAGGAATAGTGTTGTGTATGTCATGGGGAGATCACATGAAACTGATGGGTCTTGGGATGTTGCAACCTGTAGCTGTAGGCATTTTCTTGAGAAATGTTAATACTGAAATGCCAGATTCTGCTGCATATTTTCCCCCCCAAATACATTGCCATTTGCAGAACTACAGGTTTCTGTAGCTTTAGCCTCTGTTTGCATGGATGAAAAGAGACTTCATTTCTAAACAGCACAATTTATTTTCACATTTTCGGCTCTATCCCCAAATCTAGATATATATTTTTTCATTCCAACTTCTTTGCATCTTCTTGATGGGAAATACAGGCAGCAATAGCAAAAGTCTGTTAAAAACAACAACCAGGGTTCCACTAACTTGTTAAACAGAAAGAGAGACTAGAAGTGCCAAACCCTGTGCGAGGAAAAAGGAGAGAGAGAGAGAGAGAGAGAGAGAGATGTAGTTATTTATAACGCCAAGCAGCTTTAAGGTCTTTTCACTCTGCTTTGCAAACTGCCTGCTGCTTGGAGGTCACTCCAAAAAACATCACAGCAGAGCCCATGGTCTTCCAGCACAATATTTGATCAGGAATCTGGGCGGGTACCAACCTTGGCAAGTTGAAACTTGCACCTACATGCTCCATAATACACAAGAGGATCACAGAGGCAAACTCTGAAGCTGTGGGAAAAGGTGTCTCTGAATCTAGGTGAGTTGATTTCTGAATTGCATATTTTGTGAGAGGATGTTTCAGCAATCCCTGGTACAAATGGGCCAAATGCAATTGCAGCATCGTGCTAACTTAGGAGGTCAGCATGTGAGCAGCACATGCAATAGGATGAGTAGCAAGGGTACAGACCTGTTTTGATTATTGGGGAAGGGAACATTTTGACCTCATTAATCATGACTTCTCTTCCTCCATAATTTGTGAAATTCTTGGCAGTGGGAGGCAAGATGAGACACACACACACCATCTTGCCAGATCCCTTTGCCTCCCTCCAGTTTATGCCCAGGACACTGTGTACCTGGCTGCATCATTTGCATCAAAGTGTAGTGCATATTGGTGAAAATGAAACCAGGGGAGGAAATAAGAATTGTTAACTCTGAATTATTACTAGTATGTGAAGATTATCACTGAGACATCAACTCTGCAATGTTCTACCTAAGGGATCAGAATCTCAGTTCAGAGGATTGAAAAAAATTAAATGTGTTCCTTTAGTTTAATGACTATTATGAGTCTTCCTTAGCCAGTGTGGTTGTGGAAGGACACCTAGAAAGTGTGCAGCCGATGAAAATGAATTTCCCAGAAATGTGGCTCTTAAACAGAACCATCAGGCAAGAGCTAACCTCTAGGAGCACCCTGGTGGAACAGAGACCTTTCCAGAGCTGCTTATAAAGATGGGCATTCAATAGTGGAGTGGTAGACAGTTGATTTTTTGATGGAGAGAGATGTGGAATGTGTCCGTTTTCCAAGCAAGGCGAGGGATGTTTTATTTTTTCAGGCAAAGTAACACTGGGTGGTATGAGTGGTGCTTTCTGAAGAGCTGCCTGCATGCCAAGCTTCTCCAGTGTACAGAATCTAAACGCTGTTTGTAATTTTCCAAATACAGTTACAGGTGCTCACGTACATGCAAATAAAAGGAAGGTCTTTCCATTCAGTGTTTGCGTGAGTGTGTGCATATAGCAAATAGATAGCCGGTATTCAGAAACTGACTGGGATTCTTCCAAGTAGTACTTCTTTTGTAGGGATATTTTTCGCCCGCTCAGAACTCAACGAGTAATATATATTTTTTGTTGCTTGGAAAATGCCCACCCCTCCCTCCTAGCAAGTTCATCTATGTGAGTGGTGTGTGGAAAGTGGCTGCATAAATATTGTAGGCATTGATTGGCAACTGGCCCTTTTCACTGCCATTTTATGGAGCGCTCTCTCTCTCTCTCTCTCTCTCTCTCTCTTTGTGTGTGTGTGTAATTTTCTCCCTCTTCATTGTAAACATTTTATTTGTATTCTTCCATTTTTCTTTTAAAGATCAAATCAGGTATGGCCCTTCTCTTTATTGGGGGTGGGAATCCTCACAGGGCATAATAGGAACTTACATTCATTGATTAAGCAGAAAGGGGAGAGCTGTAGGGGAAGGGATGAGGAGGGCGTGCAGAGACATCCCATTCCCCATAATAACCTGGTGTGATGCCAGCACATAGGAGGAGGAGGAAAACAGGGTTATGTCCCATTGGAGAACTCTCAGGGTCTGAATGCTTTGCGCACATGAAGAACCTTGTACCCTTCACTGCTTTACTACGATTCTTTTGAACTTCTTTAGAGGCTTAGTGCTCCCTAATGTACTGCTCATGCATAGAGTATTAGAACTTAAACTGGTTGAAGCTTACAATTTCCTACAGCTGTTGAATGGGAATCAAAGTATTATTAGTATGCTATTATGGCAAATCTTACTGTTTAATAATAACCTTAATAATGATGATGGTGATGATGTAGTGTACAGAACTGGGAAACCTTTCTTATAAGTTTTTACATACTTGAGCAAATTATTCAAAAGATCTATCCGTTGGAAGCCTAAAATATGTTATAGCATATATAACTGTACAGAGGCTGATTTTGGTTATATAGCACTAAGATTATAATTTATTTGTAACTGTATTTTAAAGAAAACCAATTTTCAATATCTAAAGAATTCTGTGGACTTATACAGTGGGACTTGTGTCATTAGGACTGAAAAGCTCCCTTAGGCTTTTCATTTGAAGATGCCCTTATAGCTCTGCCACCGGGGCTTCCATCCTTGTTTCTTGCAGTGGGAGTGCTATGCCAGGGAGCCAGCACACCGGCTGAGGAATGGATCATAGAAGCCAGTAGACTATAGCTTCTTTGTCTCCTGTGCCAGGATTTTAAAGCAAGAAGCTACAAACACACGTCAGTAGCAGGCCACAGGATTGTACATCAAAATAAGCATGGAAATAAGCAGGATTGTACACTATAGAAGCATGGAAACCATTCTGTGAGGTTCTATGGACAATCGCTGGACTCTGCAGAGTTAGCAACATGAAACTTAAAGTGGCTGCTGTTTCAGACATTGTAATCCAAATGCTAGAAGTACTATATGGGCTTGAAGGCTCAGTCACATCACAAATGTGTCTCTTCTACTTTTAAGTGAACCCCCCAAACATTTCACTGCAAGGTCCACATTCTGAATTCTGTTTCTGCTGGGCTAGTCATCTGTTCTATGGCCTTGGGCAAGTCCTTCAGTCATTGTCTTGCTCACCTGGGTCCACTGAAAATTAGTCTCCCTTCTATGGTGTCAGAGGCAGCTTCCACACCCAGCAGAATGAAGTGGTGAGGCTTTCAGGGCGGGGTTGAATGTTTTGATGCTCCCCCATGAAGGGAGGAAAACTTCCTGGTAGGTATAAAGCTAGCACCTACAACTTTTGAGCCTTTGCTGTGAGTAGGGGAGGGAGGAACATGTAAGCATTCAATACTGCCTGTTAAATAGCTGTATATTATATACATATATACCTGTAGCCTGACCTGAAAAGCTTTACTGCTTGATTATCTTGATTGCATAAACTGGCCCTGTGCAGAAATCAATGGAAATCAATCATGCTTAATGCAGCCCCCCTTAACATATGTTTGTGACTGCTATTTAATTTGTGAATCCCTGAGTTAACATTTTCTGTGGTTGATCTTTCCCTCTTCCTTGTTGCACCTTTTTCTTTAGGTTGGTCCAAAGCTTGTGGCAACAATGCACTGGGCTTCTGTTCTGATTATAGTGGGCCTCTGCCGAGTGTCCTTGAGCCAGTACGATGATCAGTATGAGGACATGGCCTGGCTACAGCACTATTTACGCAGCCAATCCTCTTCTTACAACTATTCTCCATATTACGAAGATGAGGTTCCCCCATATTCTTCTTACTCTTATGTGCCAGCTGGGTCCTCTGTTGGGGAGCCTGTCCCTGAACCACCTGTTTCCAGGGAATGCCCCCAAGAATGCGAATGCCCACCCAACTTCTCTTCTGCTATGTATTGTGACTCTCGCAACCTCAGGTATCTTCCTTTTGTGCCTTCCCGGATGAAATACGCCTACTTCCAGAACAACCAAATTGGGGCTATCCAAGAGGAGCCTTTGACAATGCTACCAACCTAGAGTGGCTTGCGTTGCACGGCAATCAAATAACCAGTGAGAAAATGGGAAAGAAGGTCTTCGCCAAGCTCAAGAACCTAGAGAGGCTATACCTTGACCACAACAACTTGACCAAGATGCCTACCCCTTTACCACGGTCACTGCGAGAGCTTCACCTGGCTTATAATCAAATCTCCAAGGTGCCATCCAATGCTCTTGAAGGCCTAGAGAACCTCACCGCCCTCTATCTCAGCCACAACCAAATCCATGAAATTGGTTCAAACCTCAAGGGGTTGAAGTCTTTGATTCTTGCAGACCTGAGCTATAACCAGCTCAGGAGAGTCCCCGATGGCCTTCCGATTGCCTTGGAGCAGCTGTATCTGGAGTATAATCACATACAAACTATCCCCGATGATTTCTTCAAAGTCTCCCCCAAGTTGCTCTATGTACGTCTTTCTCACAATAGCCTGACAAATGAAGGAGTCTCCCCCAATGCTTTTAATGCAAGTAACCTTCTGGAGCTAGATCTCTCGTACAACAGGCTTCAGAAGATACCACGAGTCAGTACAAGCCTCGAGAATCTCTATCTCCAAGGAAACAAAATAAATGGTGAGCAACAGCATTCTGGATGCTGAGTGATTTTAGAGTTGTATTGGAACACAATATGCAGGCTATTTTTTAATGACAAAAACAGAGTAAAGTGATTTGGAGAATCTAGATTAGGGACCAGTGTCTCTCTGGATATTGCTGGATGACATCTGCCACATTCCCTGACCACTGGCCATGGTTAATGGGGCTGGTGGAAGGACCACAGATTCCCCACCCCTGGCCTACACTCTGCCCTCTTGGCTCTTTGGAAAGCCAGTGTCATTGTTAAAGCACAAAATGAAAGCAGAGTACTTGAAACCAAGAACAGTGAGTTTTGTTCCTGTCTCTGGATTCCCAGGTCACATGGTATGGGGGGGCATCAAAGGGCATCCCCACATTTCCAAAGCCCCCAGATACTCAAGCAGGTTAGGGCAGAAGCAGAAAGCAGAGAGAGGAACTGTGTGGGAACCAGTAGCCCTGCCATGGAGGAGCAGACAGGCAGATATTTGTTCCCTGCCACCAGCCCATCGGCCAGTTCTCATGATCCCAAGAGAACCCAGCTCATGGGTAATGGACTGGCAAGGGCCCTGGAAGTGGACGTGGCTGGAAAGAAATGGATCAAAGGCATGGAAAGGGGCCCTCTAAGAGAGGCATAGGCAAACTCAGCCCTCCAGGTGTTTTTGGCCTACAATTCCCATGATCCCTAGCTAACAGGACCAGTGGTCAGGGATGATGGGAATTGTAGTCCCAAAACATCTGGAGGGCTGAGTTTGCCTATGCCTGCTCTAAGAGAAAGGGGCTATACGGGGAGAGAAAAATAGCAGAGAGGTGAGTCGGGGGCTAGGAGAGAGGCAGGGAGAGAAAACCAAACCAGGGGACCTTTAAAATCATAGAACTGTAGAGTTGGAAGGGACCCCAAGAGTCATCTAGTCCAATCCTGTGCAATTCTGGGATCTCAGCTAAAGCATCCATGACTTGTTCAATCCAAGGGCCACATTGTCTTCTGGGCAACCTTCTGAGGGCCACATGCCAGTGGTGGGCAGAGGCAAAAGTGAGCAGAATAACCAACGTGAATCTTACCTATGTGCTGTAAACTAGCTTCTACACACTTACAAACACCCCTCTATTGACTATCCAGGCAAGCAAGAAGCAATATCTGTGTTCAAGGGCACATTCCAGCCAGGGAAAGCATTCAAGGAGGGTGCAAAGGAGGGCCAGTGAGGTGTGTGGCCTGGGTAGAAAGGATATGGCTGAGATGGGGGGCGGGGGTCTTGGGGAAAGTCCCAAGGGCCAGATTGAAAGGACTGGAGGGCCACATTTGGCTGCTGGGCCTGAGGTTCCCCATCCCTGGTCTAAGGACTCAGCTTCATTAGTAAAGAAAATGCATTTTATATGCGTTATAACACTGTGACACCATATGGCACTGTGGAGTCCAGTTTTTTGCCAATGTGATTCCTCCAGTCTAGGAGAAGGAACAGAGTGGGAGTAACCTCACTCCCTGTGGTTGAGGCTGAAAAGACCAAAAACTTCCCCTGTTCCACCCCATCCCTTCCGCACACATATGGCCTGCCTTTGCCCAAAGTGTTTCCCTTCTATATACATTTTCCTACCATGCTCTGATCAATACAAGAAAGAATATGGTTCCAACACCAAGTGGCAGCTTCCTTTAAGGTGGGACTTATTGCTGCGTTGTTAGCATCTAGAATATGATTGTTCAACATGGTGCCAGTCATCATAGATGCCAGTGACATGCTCATGTTTCAAGGAGAAATGAGCATATGGAAAAAAGAGCCAGACAGTGGGTGAAATATAATGGGTGGTATTCTGCTCCCATGTTCACATGGGTGTCTTAAAATGATGATCACAAAAAGGAGCAAAATAAATAAGTTTGTGTAATGCAGATTAGATAGAGAGCAAAACAACTTCATCTTAAAATGAAGATTAATTTGTCACATAAGAATCAATTCCATTTTTGATTGACCTAGCTTTGCATAGCTATTGAAGGATCATGGTGTTAAGCCTTCAGACCTATTATTGGTTTTGCTTCATTCTCCAGGACTTGAGAAGTACTGCTGTGCATTTTTATTCAGAAGTAATCCGCAGTGTAATAAGAATTCCTTCAAAATAAGTGTACATAGGACTGCAGCTCTAGCTGCCTTTAATCTTTCATCTGCATTGGAATTCTCATCAAATGGTTAACATTTTATAATACATAAATCAATTATGTTACTGGAATAAACTCTACTGCTCTTTGGGAGTTTAGGTGTAATTGCACCAATAATAATAAACTGGCCTATCCAAGGCATCTAATCTCATGCAACTGCCACAACCCACATTTTCTTCTGCCAGTCCCTTTAATTCCTATTTTCTGCCATAAACCCCTCATCCATCAGCTCCTGGTCTTCCCTGCTTGTTTCATTACAAACCCTTAACCAAACATTTTATACCCTTCCTACAACAGGGTTCTTGTAGAAGCATTAGCCCCATAGAATCAGAGTCCTAGAGCAGGTGAAAAAGAATAATTTTGTATGGGAGAAAAGTCTAAAAGCAGAATTCGTGTGCCACTTTCAGCAATGTTTGGGTGCTGCTAAAATGGCCACATCTGGAAGAGTCCATAATTAGTTGGATATCTTAGTTTGTACATATCAGAGGTTCTATATTCACACGAAATAGGAAATTGAAGTGTGTTACATACTGTGAGCAAATACTTCTATTGCATGTGAAGAGGAAATGTGAGAACCTGAAAGCTGATACAATAAACCATGGTTTAGTATTATGTCCGAATGTGGCCCATGCAAAGAGATAACCTTAGCAACTGTTGATCTCCCTTGCAATTATTATTGACTACCATCCTTGGACAGTTAGAGGGTGTGATCTTAAGATATGTGGAGATGGCATGTTTTTATAGCATGAGTCCACAAATGGCTACTAGTACTTACAGTTATTTACTTACAAAGCTCTTTTATTTAGAGATCCTATGCAGATGAGTCTGGGTACTGCATGAAGAAAGCTGATGCTTTCAAGAGTGATGGCATTTCTAAAATTAATCAATTTTCTTTACGTCATTTTGTTATTTACCAGTAGCTCCAGATTTGCATGGAGTCCAAACCGCATACAGATCAACTGGGCGTATTTTGAAAAACCACATGTCTGGAACAGGGAGTGGGGAGCCTGTGTCCCTCCAGATATTTTTAAACTCCATATCCCACCAGCTCCAGCCAGCAGAGCCAATTGTCAGGGCTGATGATAGTTTGATTACACAACACCCAGATGGACACAGGTTCACCACCCCTGGTCTGAAGAGAAATACATTCCCTATTGGTTGGTCTGCACCTGTTGAACTTGCCAAGACTTAGGCTCCCCACAAAAAAGGCTGACTCTGCTCTGTTTAATCAAACAGTGGTGCCATCAGTTTTGGGAAGGGAGAGGCACAGCTTTGCACTTGGAACAGCTTGGCAAGTATTGCACTTGTCTCAGTGTTTTGCTTCAAATCTGTGTGGCAACGAGGCAATCTCTCTGGATTTCTCTTTATTTATTCACTCATTTTTCAAACCATTCTATAGCTGACCTTTAAAGTTTTTTAATGAGTTTCTCAGAAGACCTTTGCTTTTTTCCATAGTAAATGAGGAATGCTGCAGAGCAAAAAGACTCAGTAGCTGAGTTTGTTTTTATATATATATAGCCCTGGTAGCTGCTGGGCTTTTAAGTTGATGGTGTCTTTATCTCTTGGCCAGAATGCTGTTCTTTTGAGGCACATCTCAGATGAAGAATAGCCATTTGTCTTTCTCCAGCTCCCTTTCATCTGAAAATCTGAAAGAGGTTCACAACCTCTACACACTTCTGCTTAGGCAGAAACTGGGCAGCAGCTAGGAGACAAGACTGGAAGTTGAAGGCAGTTTGAAATAAGGGACACTGCTCCTGTTGTGTACATTCTGCCACTTTTGAATCTGGTAATTAGGTTTTGCAGGGATTTGTTTTGTTTCAGAAATCTACTCGAACTGTTTCAATGCAGGCAACATAGCATGGCAAAAAAGATATGTGTGCATGTGTGCATGGGAAGTGAAGCCTCACACAAGCTCCTTTCAACTCCCTTGAAAAATATTGGCTGTCTCCAGCCTAGAGATGTTGGAGCATTCAGATGAAAATGGAAACAAGAGTGTAAATTAGTGATGTTTGCTGATTTGTCTCATGTCTGGAATACAAATCAACCCAACAAATACAATCAGTATTCACTGTTGTTGTTTTCAGTCTGCAAATGATGCATAACAACATGTAATTGATGACTACCCCCCACCCGATTTACAATGTGTTTCATTTCCATTGGAAATGAATGGGAAAATGTAATGATAATGTAATTCATGACTGCATATACAACTCCACCATAGCAGACAGCAAGATGACTAACTTATTTTTCTCAGAACCTGAACTGCAGCTGAATGGAAACAGCACTGCCAAATGCAGAGCAGAGCAAAAACCAATGCCACCTTAAATCCCTGTACCAGCCCCATGTCCTTTCCAACATATCCCATACGTTATATGATGACTGTGAACTTGCCCCATGGTCATGATGTTTAACAGCTCACAACATCAGTGAGCCTCCCTCCATTCGCTTCATGCAGTTATTAAAGCAGGCGTGCAGGGCAAGGGAAGGATGTGACCTGGGGAGAGTGCTGAGGGCCAGGTAGAGATGCCTGGAGGGCCACATCCAGGCCCCAGACCTGAGGGCCACCCCCCCATTAACCAGATAACAATACACTTGTTAATGCCCATATGATTTAGGTTTCCTTTTCAAAAGTGTCAGAATCTGTGCAAACAAGCCTGTGCACTGAGGGAAGTGATCCTAAATGCACCTATAGGGCAGGGGTGGAAATCTAGGGCCCCAAATGAGTAGTATGGACCCCAGACACAGCAGGGTTGACTTGCCATATTTTGAATCAGGTGAAGCAATACACAGGGCCCCCCGTAAGCCCATTAAGTCCAGGGCCTCAAGTTACCTAACTGCACCACTGCTAATGGATGCTAAAAATGACTCCAACTAGCTTATGCTCTGCTCAGCACCCCCACCAGAAAAAAACTGTAACAAAAATATTAAAAGTGAACTAAACCATGTGCAAACTTACTGTTCTAAAAGACGTGAAGAGTTAGGGGAGAGTTTAACTGAGAACATTGTTGAGAGTTGCTACTGATATACTACTATATAGTGCCATCAGTGTGTATGATGCTTTATAAAACACAAGATAACAGGTCCCTGCCCCAAGAAGCCTACAATCTAAGATATTTAGAAGGTAACAATCAGTGTGAACATGACACTATTCACACAGTATCTGCAACTTGGGATCATCAACTAATTTTCAACACACTAAAGGAATTACTTTTCACCAATACAATAATTCACTTAGGAGATTTATTGTCAAAAGATGTTTGTTCAGCCAGGAGAGTAAATGTATTTGAAAATGATTCTGTGGGTGCATGGAGAATAGAATTGCCTTTTGCTTCATGCTAGCCAAAAGGTCAGTCACCAGGTTCCAAGAGAGTGTGGTCTGAAGGCACATGGGATGAACACATTTGCTGAAGGTAGGCAAATCTGAGCCTGATCAGTACCTGGATTGTAGACCTCCTGCGAACCATATGTTACACCACCATGGGTTTCACGGTGGAAGAAAGGCAGGATATAAACCTGGGGAAACAAATAAGGTATATATTTAGCAACCAATAAAAGATGGATCTCATGCCTAGGCAGCAAGCTTGCATATGGCATCAGTCTGGCAACTGTAGGAAGCCAGAATGCTTTCATGTGGACTGCTGGCCTGACTCAGCCAGCATGGCAGTTTGCAATGGCCTTTCCCAATTCTCGTTTTGACTCACTCTCTACATTTTACTTTCCATAAAGAGTTTCTTGCACAGCAGCAGTCATGCAAGGCATATCTGGCCCAGCCAGCAGCCTTCCCCTTCCTCAACAAAGTGTGAAAGATGGACTCTTGCATTTCCAAATCTGTCCAGTGTTATACTGCCCTTACAGCATATGCAGTTTTTTTCTGGTTTTAAAGCAGGAGCAGCTGTTTCAAGGAAATGTATAAATTTGCTGCCAAGTTCTAGACTTTGGTTGCCCTCTGGCTGCTTATAAGAAGCATTGCAGCAGGACACACACCTCCATTTCCCCGCACCCCGTCTTTGAATCTTTCAGAGTTCACTGAAGGATTAGGGGTGCTTCTATTTAAAAAACAACAACAGAGAGGGATGCTAGAGCTTGAGTCTAGTGTTCTGCATGGTCTCCTTGTATTCTCTTGACAGCAGGGAATCCTTTTCCCAGAGATACCGGTATTTCAGCTTCCATAATGCATTGCTGTCCTTCATATAGTGCCCATCGAGATGCAAAGCACTTTATGGAGTAAACAACAAAAAGACTGGGTCCATTGACAGGAGAAAGGCAATAAATGAATGGAAGGAAGATGGAAAAGAGAGTAAGCAATAAAATAATATACTAATAATATTAGTTCATTTACACAAAGGCTACATTGCACACCATACATATGAAGCACATTTAAGGCGCAAGACTCTCCCCAAGGAATCCTGAAAATGGTAGTTTCTCGCAAAGCTATAATTCCCACCACCCTTGACAAATTACAATTCCCAAAATTCTTTAGGGGAAGTAGTGTGCTTTAAATGTGTTGCGTGTATGCAACCATTGTGTTAACTAGCAGCAGTGCTATTTCTCTAGAAAAAGAGGTGCCGGAACTCACCATGAACGCCTCCCTTGTTCTCTTTTAATGGCAATGGTGCCCACCTGAGAGGTGCTGGAATTGAGTTCTGGTGAGTTCTGGCTGGGGGAAAAGCCCTGATTAATAGTAAGAATACTTTTTAACCCCTCTTTAAACTTCTGGGTGCAGATCTCAAAGTGGCATATTGCATATGAGAGAGCCTAAAGATGGGCCCAGACTGTCACAATTTTATGGGAGGGATTCAAGTGTATCGGAACTTTTGATTTGCACAATTTAAACTCTGCCATCCTAGCACAAGAAATCTACCTTAAAAAGATCCTGACTTTTTGTGGTTTGGAAACTGATGAGGAAATGCTTTGAAAATTGTGGGGCAACTAAATGATTAAGAGGAAGACATGTAAACACCCCACAAGCCAATCAGGATTAATACTCATTGGCATATAACCACTGTAAACTAATTGGGGAAGGGAGCTCAAAAAAAGACTAGACATAGACTAACTACCATGCAAACTTTGTGCAAGAAAATCTGGTTGAATGCTTAATAAACACCCCAGGAAGAATTGCTGGGGTGCTTCCAGGGGTGGATTATTTAACAACACTGTCACTGCTGTTCAGCTTTAAGCTACAATAACCACTCTATCATAGAACTGTAGAGTTGCAATGCAGTGATCTCAACTAGATCATACATGATAGTTGCCCCCCCCCCAAAAAAGGTCTGCTTAAAAACCTCCAAGGTTAAGTATTCTTGACTACTAACAATCTGTAGTCAAGTGGACAGTCCCGGCTTTCCGCAGCCCCGAACGTTGGGAGAAGGCAGGGGTGGGGGGCAATTCCACAAGAAATTACAGCATGAACAGTGTGTACTGATGTAATTGACAATTTATTTTCTGGATCCCAGTTCCTCTGGGGAGGAGGAAAGACCATCTCTCAGTCTAAAAGATGGAACTGAGTTGAATTCAGAATGCAAAAATGCTACAGTGTATAAAATGTCCCTAATCCCTGGTATTTGTGATTCTTCATGGAATAGGGTGCAATTTAAACTGTGATTTCTCTATCATCCATGAAAATGGCCTAAAACGTTAGGCCTTCAAAAATATTAAATCCTCCAGCAGCTCCTGCTGTGTCAGCTTTATGGCAGGAGCTCAGCAGACTAGCTAAAGAAAATCTGCTCTTTACTCAGGCTTCATCCTCGCCGAGACGTCAAAGGTCAGTGTGCTGAATTTCCAGCAAATTACCATGATAATTTTTACATACGGTATCTTTTCTTCTGCAAAGCAGGTGGTGAGAAAGCTACTCTTGGGTGTATACAGTTTTAGGATAACTGCAGCTCCTCAGGAACCGGCTCATTCCTGAATTGGGAATTAGATACTCATGCGGTTGTTTGCCTGTGTGTGCATATAGTTCATATTAACACTTGGAAAGCACTAATCCAGACATTTGGTTAAAAGAGCAGAAGTGATGCGAGATTCTTTTCTTCTTCTTCCCAGAATTCACCATCAGCAGCTTCTGCACCGTCGTAGACATCATGAATTTTTCCAGGCTACAAGTTTTGAGGTTGGATGGGAATGAGCTCCGTCGGAATAACCTGCCCTCCGACGCCCCACTCTGCCTGCGATGGGCGAGCGTAATAGAGATTTAGCCATTGCTCCGGATCCTTTCCTTAACCCCTTCCCTCCTTACAAGGCCAGACCCCTCTTGCGATCACACGGGAGTGCAGAGGCCGACATTCTCAATTTTAACGCTGCTTCATTTGACTCAGCTTCTGCATTTGTATAATGTAAGGGGGGGTTGATAAACTTGATCCAACAGATGCTGCCCCATTATTAGCCAGTCAGGTGACAACAACAATGCGGCAAAAAAATAATAATATTTTTATTTGCCCACCTACTTTCAGTCTCCTGTTCTTCAGCGACTAATCAGTTATCTGGTCTTCATGCTGTCAGGCAGCGCATCTCTCTCCATTTAGGTGGGTGGTAAGGCAAGCTTTTGTTTCATTTCACATGTATAGCTTTAGAAGTTTGATGCCAGCTGGGATGCCTTTGGGATTTGTTTTTCCTTGTAGGAGGGTCGCCATGAGAGAAAGAGTGTGTACACGGTGGGGGTGGATGAGATTGAATCCAAACAAAATGAAAACAGATTAAACAGTTGCCCACACAGCAAGGAGCAATTAGAGACAAGAGGGTGGGGAAATGGGGAAAAGAGAAAAGGAGAGAGAAAATTACTAACATGAGAGGATCCAGGTCTTTAGCTGGTTTTCAAAGATGAATAGAGCTCCCTGGTGATGACTTGGCTTTTTCTCCCCCTCTTTTCACTTTATTTGGTTTTCTATGCTGATTAAAAGTCCTACAAATAAATGCAATAACGTAAGTTATCTAATCTTAGCAAACTAATATCATCCACAATGTGTTCACAATTTACCCTGGAAAGATACAAATGTATTCTGATATTCCTGCGGTTCCAGAGGGAGCAACTTCCCCATTCTTTACCATCCTTTCATTTTCCTCAATTTAACAACCATGTATTATTCTCCCTATTGATTTTTAATTCTTATTTCTTCCAGTTTTATGCAATCTGTAATGTTGTAACGGAAAGATTTAATCCAGCGGGGATTTTGACACTGTTGCATATGGATAAATAGCAGCCATTGGATCAAATAGTAAAAGGGTCCCCACAATTTAATATAGCTTTTATTGTTTATACGTGTAGGTCCATCATACATGCAGAAAATTTCCTCTGTACCATAATTGTATGAGGAAAAATCCTTTCATTTTCAGAGGAAATAATTTTTTATGGATTTGTAAATTTTTGATAGCATTAAGCCTCACTTGGGGCTTCGAACACACTGCATATCATTAATCTCTTCCAACCCAGACAGGAAAGAGTTTTTTCCACCCTCTGCTATAATGCAGTTCAGTTTATTAGCCAGTGCTTGCAGAAGACATATTACTTTCCATGCACTCCTTGGTTGCATATAAAGAATGCTGCAGTTATTGAAGCAACATTCCTGGCCTGTTATAAAATACAACATGAGCCAAGTTGGCATTAAAATACCTGGCAAGACTCACCATCATTCAGTAAAGCAGATGACTTGACTTGCCAGCATAGCATGAGAAACTGGGGGCTTTATAATTGTACTGCTCTACAAGTGCCCATTCAGGTACTGCAGTTCAATAAAAGTTGTATCCCAAATTGTTTTGTACAGCAGAATCCCATTCTAGCGTCCCATGTGTTTCATTGCATTTGTTGTAACTTGTTTGCTTGGCTATAGAGTCGTCTCAGCTGAATTTCATACACATGGCAGCACCAAGTCTTGCTCTAAGAATGTATGGTTCTTTCGTCTCGAGGTTCTCCCTCCTCATTCACTCAATCCTTTCATTTGTGTGTGGCTCACGGAGGAGAGGAGACGTAGAAGGAGGAGCAAGTGAGTTTTACGGGGATCTTGGGAAGCTCAAAATGCCATCGAAACTGCCTTGTGTTTCAAGTGTATGCTGATAATATAAAAGAAATATATAAAAGCATGAATTGTAGATATAATTACTGATCAATAAAACCCTTTTTGTAATTGCATGGGATGCCTTCGAAACTACCATTTACCAGGTTAGATTTGAAATATCTGGTGTGATCAAGGAAACAAATGAAGCCTCCCTTGGATGATTGGAAGAGATTAAGGTGGAATCTACATACATATAAAAACCGTTCTGAAAAAGTGTTTTTAAAAATACATTGAATCTTCCATAAGGCTCACCATCGCTATCTAGTGTCACATTTTATATTGCACTTAAAACACACTTAAAATGTTTGATTTGCAGCTGTATAGTTGAGTCTTGAACTTGTTTCTTCATAGGACATTTGGGGAATCAGATACTTGTATTTAGTTACTGTGTCCCTTCTCCACATGCCCACCCACACAGGAACTCCAGCTCAGCAGGCCCGGCATGAGCATGATGAGTGTAGACCACGCAGACAAAGGTGGGAGATCTTGCTAGGAAACTTTTCATATCACATTTTATTCTCTTGGAAAGGGGTCTGGTACTGCACTGCAAACTTTTTGCTTTAATGTTTATAGCCAGACTGGAAGTGCAGTAAGATGCAAAGACAGACACACCTTTAAAAGGGTCCGGCGATCACTGTGGTTATAAAAATATGTTTCTTCACAAAATATCCTCCTGTTCGTCAGATTATCTCCAATCAGTATTCACACTGGAAAATTTCTGCTTTAGAAACTGAGCCAGGATTGGGAGGTATTGCACTGTGAATTGCCTTATCACTGCACCCATTTGTCTGAAATTTGTCAGGCTTCATCTACTTATAAAAGTAGCTAATGCAGCTGCAAATTGCATCCAATCCTGTCAAAATGTAAAAGAATTACAGCTATGACAAAATAATAACAATAATAATAATGGAAAATAAAACAGTTCAGCTGAAGAAAAGAAGTGAATTATTTCCAGATAAGTGTGCACAGGAATGCAAGATAAGGTACCTTGAAGTGAATAGCAACTCGTTTCACACGCAGCAGCTGGCAAACTTTGCCTTCAACTGTTAAGTATGGTGACATATTTCTAAACAATCCCCACTTTACCAAATGGGCCACTGCTATTTGGAGTTTGGAAGAGAAACCACAGACATGTGCTGTTTTGTGATATCTGGTCTGATTCACAGATAGAGAACATAGATGGAGGCAACTGGCATACACACTCCTACCAGGCAAAAGAGATGTTATCCACTAGAGAAATATACCTGCACCCTACCCCCAGATGCCTCCAGCTACAGCCCTCTGCCTGTGTCTTCTTGTCTCTGCCCGCCCCTGCAAAACACTGCTGCTTCTGTTGCCTCACACACAGAGACTTTATGTCCATCTCCTCCTCCCAGCAAGGGTGAGGGGGAAAGGTTCACTGTTAGCCCCACCCATTCAAATCACTCCAAGTCCTTCAGCTATTTCCTGACCTTTTAAATTGGTTTGTAAACATCAGCTGCAAGGTTTAGGATAGGGTTGCCATATTTCAAAAACTTGAAAGCTGCTGAGCCAAAAAACAACAACCCATGACTTGCCTTTCGAAAATTCCTCCCAGATATCAGTTCCGCCTTTGAAATCCCAAACATATGGCAGCCCTGTTTAAGAATACAATATATATAGTAAGCAGAGCAATCTGCAACAATGACAAGGGAAGATTCTATCAATACTGTTTAATTAATTTCTAGAAGCTCAGGTTCATATGTGTTTGAAAGGAATATCCTCTGGTCTAGAAATCTGCAGACTTTATCTGCGTACTAAATGGTGGTTTAAATGCAGTCTGATTTTGTTCGGGGGTGTTTTAAACGCTTCAAATATTCCTGGATTAAGCCTTGGCATTGAAACAAGAGGCCAAAACTGAGCTCGGCACAGATTCCGCCGTGTCCAGTAGCCATTCTTGGTGTGGGAATAAGGGTGCTGCAAGGAACCAAAAGTATCCTTACTTTAATTTCTGAAATGCAGGGAGGTATGCAATTAACCAGCAACAGAAATCATGTGATCTAGTTTTGCCCTCTAGTGGCAGAAACTTGGCACTTGCAGCAACATATCAAACGCTTCAACGTTGAATACATCAAGTTTGTATGTCACAACCCTACAAGTTAACATACCTACTCTTCAGTCTCTTTTTGAACAGTACCACATGTCTGGGTTGCTGCCAGTGGAACTGTGTGTGTTCTCCCGGCTGCGTCAACTGAAATATAGTGTCCTGGTCAAGGTAAGTAATAATACCACTCTATTCTGCCTTGGTCAGACCACACCTGGAATACTGTGTCCAGTTCTGGGCACCACAATTTAAGAAGGATATTGACAAGCTGGAACGTGTGCAGAGGAAGGCAACCAAGATGATCAAGGGTCTGAAAACCAAGCCTTATGAGGAAAAGCTGAGGGAATTGGGTATGTTTAAGCCTGGATAGGAGGAGACAGATATGAGATATGATAGCTATCTTCAAATATCTAAAGGGTCATCACATAGAAGATGGAGCAAGCTTGAAGACATTGTCTACTTTAGCTGGACGGCTCCATCATGGGTCGCAGCACTGAATAAGTCAGTGAAATTATCTGTGCCTTGCCTCACTTCCTCTCCTTAAAGGAGGGAACATTGCTTCATCTCACCTTAGCTGGGCAATCTCAGCTGAGATGAAGTGGCCAGGGATAGAGATGGAGGAGAAATAAAAGTAGCATTTAAAGGTGAAATTAGCAAGTTTGTATTTTATTTTGCAATACACAAACTGAAACACAGGCATCCTTCCAAATTGGCATTTCTCCGAATCTTGCAATGCAGTTTCTCGGCCAAGTAGGTGTACGTATGACAGGGCAAAATGGCCACCAAAAAGCCTTTATAAGTGAAAACAACATCCAAAACACAATATATTAAAGAATAAAGGTAAAGGTACCCCTGCCCGTACGGGCCTGTCGTATCCGATTCTAGGGTTGTGCACTCATCTCACTTAAGAGGCCAGGAGCCAGCGCTGTCCGCAGACACTTCCGGGTCACGTGGCCAGCGTGACGAAGCTGCTCTGGCAAGCCAGCACCAGCACAGCACACGGAAACGCCGTTTACCTTCCCACTATAAAGCGGTACCTATTTATCTACTTGCACTTAAGGGTGCTTTCGAACTGCTAGGTGGG